GAAATGCACAACCTACCTAAACTGACACCAACAGAAATTGAACACCTGAACAGACCCATTACAAAAGAAGAAATTGAAAAGTTAATAAAACAACTTCCAACCAAAAAAAGCCCTGGACCAGACAGCTTTACAAGTGAATTTTATCAAACATATTCACAGGAGAACTGTAACCAATCCTACATAAGCTATTTCAGAAAATAGAAAAAGATGGAATTCTCCAAGACTCATTCTATGAAGCAAACATATCCTTGATGCCAAAACCAGGTAAAGATTCAGCCAAAATAGAAAATTATAGACCAATATCTCACATGAACATAGATGCAAAAGTCCTGAATAAAATCCTGGCCAATAGAATCCAATGATACATTTAAAAAAAATAATAATTCACCATGACCAAGTGGGATTCATAACAGGTATGCAAGGATGGTCCAACATAAGACAAACAATCAATGTAATTCATCATATGCAAAGAACCAGAACCACATGACTCTATCAATTGATGCAGAAAAGGCCTTTGACAAAATCCAACACCCTTTCCTGATTAAAACAATTAACAAAATAGGATTAGAGGGGAATTTCCTCAACATAGTAAATAGTATATATACACAAACCTGAGATCCAACATTGTTCTCAATGGAGAGATGCTAAAGGCATTCCCTTTAAGAACAGAAACTAGGCAAGGATGCCCATTATCACTTCTCCTATTCAATATTGTATTGCAAGTCTTAGCGATAGCAATAAGACAAGAGAAGGAAATAAGAGGAATCCAAATTGGCAAAGAGGAGGTAAAATTATCTCTCTATGAAAACGATATGATAGTATATTTAGAAAACCCTAAAAGCTCAGCAAGAAAACTATTGACCAATTCAGCAAAGTAGCAGGATACAAGATCACCATACAAAAATCAGTTGGATTTCTCTACAGTGACAAAGAGAATACAGAGCTGGAGCTAAGAAACAATATCCTTCACAATAGCTAATCACAAGATTAAATACTTGGGAATAAATCTAACCAGAAGCTCAAAGGATCTATTCAAAGAAAATTATAAAACATTATTACAAGAAACAAAAAGAGACCTGGAGAAGTGGAAGAATATCCCTTGTTCATGTGTAAGAAGACTCAATACTGTGAAAGTGGCAATACTACCAAAGCCAATTTACTCATTCAATGCAATTCCAATACAAATACCAATTCCATTCTTCAATGGGATAGAAAAGGTAATCAATCTCTCCAGTTTCATTTGGAATGGAAAGAAGACCCAAATAAGCAAAGCACTCCTAAAAGATAGAAAAAAAGGTAGGAGGCATCTCACTCCCTGATTTCAAATCCTACTACACTGCC